CACTAACGGGCTTAAGCCAAACGGGCAAACTTATGAAAATTTAGCGGAGTTAATTAAATAACTGAAGGAGAGAGGAAAGAAGACCTAACAGGTAGACGCAGAACTTAATTGCAAATGAACTTAGAATTTCAAGTTAGAATGGTATTTCCTGATTAAAATTTAATGATGTTATCATTAAAATTGATGAGAGTAGCTTTGCATAGGCTTCAATGCAAAAGCGTTAGCTTCAGTTAGCTTTAGGTGATGCTAGGCTATTTGTTTACAAATAGCTCAAAAATGGCGCTGGCGAACTGCGCTTGCGCACTTGACAGTTACCTCTGGAAAGGGTTTCTTAGAACTTCCGGGTTACGGCTGTTACTATGGCATCGCACCCTGCAATACCTAGCCTGTGCTACACACAGTCTATGGTTATACACAGTTTACGCCCTTCATGTAAAATGGCGGCGCATTTCACACTGAACAACCAAAAAGCACTCTTTAGATTCTTATCTTTATAGCGCTGAACACTCTCACCTCGTTGGAGTGAGGTAAATTAATGTACAGATTTACTGCAATTAATTCAAAATTACGTTATTGCAGATCTCGGCGGATCTAATCACTTAGTCTATTTATACAGACAAAAACACGTGGATTTGACCACAATTCTTACTTGATCAAGATTTCACAATTCTCCCCCCAAAAATTGTAGAGCGACAGACAAAATCTACATGTTTTACTGCAGTTCACTTCTTTAAACACTCGAGTTGCACATTCAAACATTCAACACGCTGGCATGCCACAATAAATTATCCAGTAACACAACAACACAAGTTTCTCTGTATCTAATCTATTCTTCCGGATAAAAATAGAAAACATTCACAATAATATCTTGGTGACATAAATTTTTTTAAGCCAAATCTTTGCCAGCTTTCTTTCTCCACCATCTGTAATGAATTTACCTAATTTGATATTTATTTTGTAAGGGAATTTATTATTATTTTAGCTCAGGTCTTGAGAGGAATCGAATCTGAAGATTCGAAGTCAACCTGATTAGAACTGATTTCAAATGTGATAGTTTACACTTTATCAACTGTTCGTCCAGCGAGACGTTAACGTCCGTGTATCTTAACAATTTGAATATTTGTATTTTCCCTGGCCACAGTTTAATACATGCTTTTGATAAGTTATAAGCTACGAGCTAGGTAAAGTGATCTGGGCAGAGTTTTAACTTTTAAATTTTCACAACACAATACTTCTTTATAAATGAAACAAGAATGTATTGGCTATTCTAGATTACAAGTCCTTAACCATCTTCAAGAAATGACTAAAAACACATCTGTTCCACCTTTATTTGACCCTCTAACTCTAGCACTTTCTATTCTATTTTACTTTCTATTTATCTTCTTTTTTTTAATTAAAAAAAAATAGCTTTCTACTTTTTCTGTTCTATTTACTTGTTTTTCTTTGTGTGTGTGTATATGTGTGTGTGTATAATATATATATATATATATATACACACCTTGCTACGTGTACTGCGTTAGGCTAACCGAGACTTGTCATTTGCACTTATATATTGTTGCTCTTTTGTTAGTTTTGACTGCTTTTATTGTCCTCATTTGTAAGTTGCTTTGGATAAAAGCGTCTGCTAAATGACTAAATGTAAATGTATGGGTCCCCAACCATACTCGGCCACATGTCACTTCACTCACTTCAATGCAGAATTTACATCAGTTTTGTGAATATACTCTGAAAACAACAGTGTTGTTTGCATTATGTATTTGTGTTTGAATACCCTGCTGATGAAGCATTAAAGTGTTTTTGTTTTGATTCCTCTGTGAAATCAATTGACAGCAACTGCGCTCGGTCCTCAGTCCTGACAACTCGATATAACAAAACTCAACTACCAACTCATGCTTTTTGCCTTTATTGTCAATGTCAACATGTATTTTTAAAATTATGATTTTATTCACACACACATATTTGAACATGTTTACAGTTCATTTGGAGGGCGTTTACTTAAAGCAAGTTCGGTTCACACAACTCTGGTACCAGAGACAATGAAATTGCTTTAGAGTTGCATAATACCTTTGATTAATATTAGCATTAAGAAATCAAGTTGGAGTTACAGCTGAAAATCTGGTGCTCTTGACATGATGAAATCCCTTTAATACATTTGTGTTACAGTAATGACAAATATCTTGAATCAACATGATTTAAGTAGTCTAATGTGAATTAAATATTTTGGTTTGGCAAGCAATAATTCATTGAGAAAAAGAGGACAATTATGCCAGTTGTCCACATTCTGATCATGTGGGACCAATGTACACATTAAAATTAAGTTACCGAAATCTCCTTCCACAAACAGGAGATGTGAGGCTTTTAATTTGTATAAATTGTCTGGTAAGGCATCTCTGTAGTGTGAATTCTCATGTGATGATTAAATCCTCTTGTACAGGTGAAACACTTTCCACACTGAGAGCAGCTGAAAGGCTTTTCTGAAGAGTGTTACCAAATGATCCTTAAAGTGTCCTTTCTGTTTAAAACTTTTCCCACACTGAGAGCAGCTGAAAGGCTTTAACCAGCATGACTTAGTGAGTCTCAAGGTATCCTTTACATGTGAAACTCTTTCCACACTATTCCAGCATGAATTAGCATGTGATTCTTAAGGTTTTCGCTACACATGAAAGTGTTTCCACACTGAGAGCAGCTGAAAGGCTTTTCCCCACTATGGATTATCATGTGTTTCCTAAGACTTCCTTTATATTTGAAAGTTTTTCCACACTGAGAGCAGCTGATAGACTTTTCTGAAGTGTGACTTACCAAATGATCCTTAAGGTGTCCTCTCTGTGTAAAACTCTTTCCACACTGAGAGCAGGTAAAAGGCTTCATTCCAGCATGAATGAGCATGTGATTCTTAAGGTTTTCCTTACACGTGAAAGTGTTTCCACACTGAGAGCAGCTGAACGGCTTTTCCCCACTATGGATTCTCATGTGATTCATAAGGCTTCCTTTATGTTTGAAAGACTTTCCACACTGAGAGCAGATGAAAGGCTTTTCTGAAGAGTGAGTTACCAAATGATCCTTAAGGTGTCCTTTCTGTGTAAAACTCTTTCCACACTGAGAGCAGCTGAAAGGCTTTATCCCAGTATGAATTAACATGTGCTTCTTAAGGTTTGTTTTACATGGGAAAGTGTTTCCACACTGAGAGCAGGTAAAAGACTTTATTCCAGCATGAATTAACATGTGATTCTTAAGGTTTTCATTACACGTGAAACTCTTTCCACACTGAAAACAGCTGAAAGGCTTTTCCCCACTATGGATTCTCATGTGATTCATAAGGCTTCCTTTATGTTTGAAACTCTTTCCACACTGAGAGCAGCTGAAAGGCTCTTCCCCACTATGGATTCTCATGTGTTTCATAAGGCTTCCTTTATGTTTGAAAGACTTTTCACACTGAGAGCAGCTGAAAGACTTTTCTGAAGTATGACTAACCAAATGATCCTTAAGGTGTAAACTAATAAGAAATTCTAAACTAATAAGAAATTCTAAACTAATAAGAAATTCAAATTTGGTGTGAACAAAACTGTACAGAGGGAGCTGAATTATAAAGATTATAATTCTAGAATTGAGCCAAAGTGACTGAGAAAAACTGAAAGTGAACTGTAAATGAAAAGCAAAATGCATTAAACATTTCAGTATTTCATTGAAAATGGTATCATGTAAATACCCCCAAAACAAATTAATGCCTTAAATGCCTAAAAGTGGACAAAATCTCATGAAAAACACAATTACGAAGGAAAAAAATTGAAAAACGAAACAATAATTAATAACGACAGAAATAGACTTGTGATTTTTCACTTTCTCCACCTTGCAACTGCAGTCTAAAAATATGTCAGAATCAGCCTAATGTCTATTTACCTCAGGAATAATGTCAAGATTCTGAGAGAAAATGCACTTTTAAATATGTAAATATTGCTTCACTTTATTTCAGTCACAGTTTCTGCTATATTTTCTGTATTGAGTACTCGTCTGTGTTAAAGCTCTTCCCACACTCACAGTACAGAGTTTTCACTCTCTCAAGCATTATTTTCTTGTGCCTTTTTAAAGAGTCAACCCTTGGATGAGGATGAGCTCTGAGTCCAGCTTTCCATTTAAAACTCTTCTCACACAGATGACTTCGCTTTAGTATGAATTCTCATGTGACTATTAAATTCTTGTTTAAAGGTGAAACACTTTTCACACAGAGCAAGTAAAAGGCTTTTTCCCAGCATGAATTAACATGTGACTCTTAAGGCATTCTTTACGTTTGAAAGTGTTTCCACACTGAGAGCAGCTGAAAGGCTTTTCCTCACTATGACTTCTCACATGTTTCATAAGGCTTCCTTTATGTTTGAAACTCTTTCCACACTGAGAGCAGCTGAAAGGCTCTTCCCCACTATGGATTCTCATGTGTTTCATAAGGCTTCCTTTATGTTTGAAAGACTTTTCACACTGAGAGCAGCTGAAAGACTTTTCTGAAGTATGACTAACCAAATGATCCTTAAGGTGTGCTTTCTGTGTAAAACTCTTTCCACACTGAGAGCAGCTGAAAGGCTTTTCCCCACTATGGATTCTCATGTGATTCTTAAGGATTCCTTTATGTTTGAAACTCTTTCCACACTGAGAGCAGCTGAAAGGCTTTTCCCCACTATGGATTCTCATGTGTTTCATAAGGCTTCCTTTATGTTTGTAAGTGTTTCCACACTGAGAGCAGATGAAAGGACTTTTGACTTCTGTTATTTGAATGCTGCAACTCACAGATTTTTCTTCATTGACATTATGATCTTTTTGATCCCGATGTTTCTCCACTTCATTCAGATCTTGTCTTTCCTCTTTCACCTTCATCAGGCCTAAAATGAAAACATTAGAGTGATGAAAATCAATTGGAACAAAACTGTCCCTGTTCGCACAGATCCATGAAAATGACAAAAAACACTGTATTATCCTGACAAGCCAGTAGTTGGCGATGTCACTTTGTAAAGCACGTGTCAAATTCTGTTTCTTTGAGGGCTGCAGCCCTGCTCCAACACACATACCATGGCTGTATCTGAAATCGCCCATTAGGTGGCTCTCTAGTAAATTACTCCATTGCCCATAAGGGGTGGGTGGGGGGTGGGGTCCACTGTATAGAGCAATACTCTAATGGAATTAGTGGAAAGTCAGTCCCACCTCGACTTTCTTCCAAATAACGCACATTTCACGATATGGACTAGTATCATCAAGATATGGACTAGTATCTGTAAATATTAAGCCGCAAAAGTCGATTTAAATATGAATCCTGCCTGTTCTGCATGTCTCTGTTTATGAATGGCGCAGACGCGTGGTTTCATTTACTACACACATACTGAAGAGCGCGTGACACTTGCGGTGATTTTAGCGTCTGCCGTCTCACTAAATGAGGACGTAAACACATGAACAACATCTCCAGAACTGCTCTGAGAGTCACTTCATGAGCATTTTAGCATTTGATTTGAGTAAAACTAGTGTCATAGCTCATACACAGAACTGTATGTATTCATGGCAATCCGTCAAAATAAAAGTCCGGTTTGATTTGAAGACATTGTGTCTATATTTATTTTTCAGTAGAATGTACATTGCCTACTACTACTACTACTACTAAAATGAAACAAACATTATTTTTTAAGGAATAATCACAAAACATTTCTTCCATGTTTTATTTTTAATAGTAAATCCCCTTTGTTTGCCAAAAAATCTTGTTTGCTTAATTTTCAATAATTAAAAGATAAATGATAAATTAAATTAATGTTGTATGCCTTCATTTGATAACCAGAAAAAATGTAAATATACAACACCGAATTTCTGAGGGGAAAAAAAAATAATATGGCTACTTTAAGAAAAAAATTAATAAATTAAGTTGTTTTATGCATTCAAATAATTAGACATGCTAAAACACAGAATTTGGTAACAATAAAAAATATAAATAATATGGTGAGAAAAAATAAAACATTTCATAGGGCCCTAAACATGTAATTTTTGTTAAACTTTTAATAAATTGATGTGAAAATGTATAAGTTTCATGATTTTAATTAATAAGAATAAAAGACTATTTTTCCCTATATATTTCATTACTGAGGATTTCTTTAAAAAAGTCTAAAAAAACTTGTCTCGTCTCGTTCTCGTGAACCCAGTCTTGTGTCTCGTCTCGTGGGTTAAGTGTCTCGTCACACCCCTAAAATA